ATTCCTGCAGAAAGGCCTCCAGGTCTACAGCAAAGAAATCTTCTCCGAGCTGGTCAGTGATTCGCACAAAATTGCCGATGAGCTCACCGGCCTTATAGATCAGCAAAGCTGGCAGGGCGTTATTAGTAAAGCGAGTGCTAGCACCAATGAGCGAACTCTTCACTCTGCAAAATTTAACTGTCGGATACTCAGCAGCTAGGCAGATCATACAGCCGTTCAGGGATTCGGTGCCAGGGATATCATCTTCGTAAATATGGATCATGATCAGTGTGCTCTTATGCTCTTTATCAACCGTGTCCAAAAACGCTTCTCCACTGGTAATCTCAAACACCTGTTTAAACTGCTGCCCACTGTACAACTGCTGTCTCATCTCCTCCATTCGCTGCTTCCTGTAGCGCTGCAAAAATTCCTCATCATCTTCATCATTGTGAATCATGTTATATTCTTGTAACGTCATCTAAAAAACACACAGAGAGACAGATGAAAAAGAAGAAAGATCTGCATCGCTATATGGGTCACTTATGTAATGAGAATTTAAATCAAGAGGATTAATGTGGGTCACTCATCTTTAATAACAGCAAAGTGCAACGCATGAAGGCTCAAGCACCCTCTGTATTATACTCCATTTTGATCTAATTAGAAACCATGTCCGGTGGGAACAGCGATTTCAGCCTTGGGTATTCTAGTTTCCACAAGCTGCACTAATAACACAAGTGGCTGCTCCATGCTCCCGCTCTAATCCAGGTTAATGCTGGCGATGTGCTTTCACTAAGCTATGAGCACTGATTTGGGTACCGCGCCTGAGCTAAGTCTAGTGTCTTTTTCATTAGCTTTTTAATTTACTTTTTCAGTTAACATTTCATGGCAACCAAATGCACTCTCTTGTCTGTAGAACTAAAATTAACAGAATTTTATATATTTCGTATCTGTTCAGTTGCTTCATTAAACATATTTGCATCACTCAAGGTATAGGTCAGTGTGGCCAACTTTCATCATCTGAAAGCAAGAAACGCTGTCTGCTAATTAGTAACTTCTCTGACTAGAACTGTACAAGCTAATTATACAGCCCAGTTGACTGAAACCATTCACTACTTCCAGCTCTTTGGAGCTCAAATTCGAGGCCAAATTCTCAACATCCACTTACTACACACAAAATCAATAAAGACTCCTAAACTCTTGTTTCAGGCATGGGAGGCAGTATTCATAGGTTTGCTGTACAACTCTTTGTCTTAATCCCCTGAGGTTGACTTATTTGATAAACGGACAAGGGAAATCTGGGATAAGAATTTGGACTTCTTTGGTATAGCAGCTAAATTGCTTATTTCTTAACACAGGCAAATGCAATGCTCCTGGAATGCCACTAAAATGCAAAATAATTAAACCTGACAACACCTGGCAAATACAGTTATAATGCACCCCTTACACTGCTGCTGTGTTCCTATTTACTAGGCAGAAATGATACTTATCTACTGATAGAACAAGGGTTCTTATCTGCTTCATGTACACAAATGCGGAAACTGAAAATATTAAACATTTAAGTGGCATTTTAATTCCTCCGTGCCATGCTACCTTTCCATTGATTTTTTCCTGAAGCTCTTTCTGCTTCTGCTTATCAGTCTCTTCATCTAAGTGAGATCTACATGTCATAGATAACTTTTTTATGAGTCGCTCCATTTCTCTGCGCTGCTCCTGCCGCTGTTCAGTTTCCAGTTGTTTATATCTTCGCCAGTCATTAATGACTCCTTTGGGACCTGAAATCAAATATGTAGGTATTTTGTACAAAAGGGTAATAAAATTACACCTAACATTTGAAATTCAAGTGTTAATTTATAAGTCAGCAGTAAAACAGTGCCCCTGTCACAAACCTTTTGTATACCATGCAAAATACTGAAATGAAACAAAAGAAGTAACTTGGCATTTACACATCCTTGAGCTTCTTTTTTTTTTTTTTCTAAGACTAAAGTTTATCTAACTAGGCTACTCTCATAACTGTCCCGAAGATTAATATCTGTGTTCTTGAAATAGAACACCAGCCCTCAAGAATTCCCCTATTGTTAGTGTGGCTTTTCATAAGAACAAAAATAATGATGGGAAAGTATCATTAAGTTTGCCAATGCTCTTGTACAGAAGTACATTCTGTGATGTACAATGATGTCAATTCTTACAGACTGCACCTTCCTGGTACATTGCAGCTGGGGCCCAGCAGAGTTACTTTTTCAGGTCCTCTCTAAGTATGCCAGTTTAGCACTAGAATTCTTCCATTCTTCCATCAGGTGAAAAATATCAACACGTGCAGGAAGATGATTTTTCATCATTCTTAGAGAAACCATAAAACACAGAGGGACAATCTTTCATAAGAACGTAAGAAATACCCTCTGGATCACACCAACGGTCCACACAGACTCGTATTGTTCTCCAACAGTGGCAGCAGAGAAGGCTATTTTGGGAAAGCCTGGCCACTCTCTATCTATTCCTCATGTACTCATTCAGCACCTACCCGTTACTGGTTAACAACTGTGGGGCTTACAGGATAGAAATTTATGCATTATCAACCAAATTGTACAAATCAGCTTAGTATGCAAAGACAAAACTGCTTTAGAGATCATGCTGAAGTCTCTCAGAGAAGTCAAACATTAAAATAAAGAACTGGCTATTAAAAATAAGGTTAGACTATAGCCATGTCTGAGTCAAGTATGCACAAAACCACAACTTACGTGTTGAAAAATGAATTTTAGAAAAACACACGAATCTTCCAATAAAAAAGTATTTACAAAACAATTAGTTTGATATGATGATACCTGTGTTGACTGCACTGCCATCACTGCTAAGCTCTACTTCCCCAACGCTTTCAGGAATGGCGCTCTCCCCTTCTTTATCTTCTTTCTCACTGTCTTCATCCTCACCCTCACTACTGCTGTAATAGTACTGGAGCTTCTCACCAAGCAGTTTATCATCCAAAGTAGTCATTATGTTCTAAAAAATAGATTAACAAAATAGAGAATGCATCTCTTATTCAAATATGCATCGCGAGATACCATTTCAAACGCATAATGATGGTTCTTTACTTCCTCAGAGCAGTTTTTAGCCACATAAGAGCAGTTTACAGCCCACCATCAAACAGCCTACAAAGCAGTCAGTCACGTGAGTTAATTCTTAGTCACAATTTCAAACTCACTTAAGTTAAAACCCTTTACGAATAGAACTGCTTTGAGGCTCACTAGTGCAAAAACACTTTATGTCTGTTCCCATTCATGGAGAATGAATTTTCTAACTGTGATTTGTGAGTCTTACCAGCCTCACTCAGATGGCTCCAAGAGGGTGATTTCCCAGTTGTTGAAATTTAAATTTCCAGTATTATTTGCATTATTTTAACAATTATTTGTTTGAGCAGAAGAATGATCAATGTAATCAATCAAATTTAAGTGTGCTGACCTTTATTCCTTTCCAGTCTTTCCGAGACAAGCTTCTATCAAAACCTGGAAGAACGTAAATTCAAATTGTCAAAGACAATCTCAATAAGACTTTTGCAGAAATCCAGCACATTTAAATAACATAACACATGCAAGGAAAAAAGTTTAAAGAAAATGGAACCACGTTTGCTGCTTAATAAAAAAGATTACTCTCAAACACAGAAAACATATTTTCTAAGTATTGAGACAGAACATACAAATGCTTAGTGCAGTCAGCGCTACAGTTTCATGAACATCACTGCCACGCTAAGAAATAACTTATCAAAAGAAAGATCTTCATGTCCATCATCTCTTCATCTTTTCACTGACCACATCGGTCATATTCAGAGAAGTCAACAGCACCCTGTTTGCACGGACAACACTGAAATTAGATGCTGACACACTGATAAAGTGATTGTAACTATCTTAAAAATCCTCACTTTTCCCGAGTTAAACGTTGGTTTTTTTTAAATCCAAAATACATTCTGCTAAATAGAAATTAACAGCAGAATCCACCCTCTAGTGCTACCGACAGCATCAGCGTTTACGGACGTTGTAAGCCTCTCGCATCAGGAGAACAGACAGATGAGATGTTTCCAAGTGATGGAACGCTGAGGAACCACGGAGAACTTTAGGAGTTTGGGGCTCTCTCTCCCCTGACTCCTTCCACCACCATCCTCTAAAAGAGCTACTGATCGGATCTCATCCTGATGGAGACGTAAAACACCTGAGAATTACTCTTTTTTTTTTTCCTGGGTGAGGTGCAAAGGGTGCAGAAAAGAGTGCCATTAAGGTCCGATAGCTGGCTATGGACCTGGGATGCACTACCTCCATCTAAATGGCCACAAAGCTTCATTTAACCAAAAAAAAGCAATTTCAATCAAATCAGTCGATTTGGGCTCACACTTAATTCTGCAGGACCCTACAAGCCAGCCCTGCTCACGTATATCTGGCAAAGACGCCCCGAGCGCTGTAGGGATAACTCAGCGCTTTTATTTTTTTCTGCCAACCGCTAGCAGGTTCTGCAGGAGTTAAAACCGGCTGAAGCAGATTATCCGGGAGGTGTCCAGATGGCCCGGGATTACCGGGATTACTTCGGGGAGCACTGCAGAGCCTCGCAGGGTTTTACGAACGCGCATCCTCAGCCGGGGCCACCGGGCGAGGCGAAGGCAGAAAGCAAAACGCTTCAGTTTCAGCAGAAAAAGGGAAAATGCTCTGAAGGTGCCGCTCGCAGCTCGCCCCCTCCCCGCCCCGGGACCCCGGGCCGCGCCGCGGAGCCCC